GTGTCCTGCGAGTTCAGTGTTACTATCTCACTTCAGCACTTCCCTCCAGTGTAAAACAGACAGGTGCGTAGACGCATAGTAGAAATTTCAGCAGAAGTTAGACTTCCTCTTTCATTTGAAATTGGTATCCCCAGATCAGATAAGACAAGACTATGGACAAGAAAAATGAAACACTACAGAGAACTCTAGATTTTCTTACCTACACTGCCAAGTCCAAGTGAGGGGTTTTGATAAGGAAACTGAGGTCTTTGAAACAAGGAAATGGACAGTAGAACAGAAGTAGGACTCAAGAGAACCATTAAAGACAAACACCTTACAGCAAAACAGACTGCAGGAATATGATCCTCTAGTAGGATTTTTTGGGAGAGGTGGTGTGAGGAAAAAGGAATGGAAAGCATGAGATTTTATCAATGAGCTGCCTCCTGCTAGACATGACCTGTGGCATCCATTAAACAAAATTATACAACCTTTCATTATAAAAAGTTAATTTTCTTCAAATATTTCAATTGTTAGGCTACATGCCTATCCATTCACATTAAGAAGTAAAACTAATTATGCATTATTTGTTACAAGTAGTTTGTTTATTCCATATAAAAGAAATGTATTGAATGGATACCTTAGGTAATACACTTCTTAGCACTGGTATTTTTGAAACAAAGGTATAATTAGGGCTTAGATTAAAATCTGACTCTTCTGAAAACCATGGAAGAACTTTATGCAAGAAAGCAAACAACATGTAACAAAACCACCCTCTTCCCTGCCATATCCCCACAGGAGGATGTAAGTCTTTCCAGAAATGGAATAAACAGTACCCCAGGGATACACTCAGGAATGCTTAGAGTGGTTAGTTTTTCGTATGATACAATAAAGCATTGTATAGGGATAGTATTCTTGCAGAGTCAAAGGCCATGAAATTAAAAGGGGCTGAGTCATGGAGAGGCAGCATTAAGTATACAACAGGCACATTTAAAAACCCTTGGTTATCTGGGTTATGCTGTACCTTCCTGATGCAAAATACACAAAGTTAATGGACCCTCACCTCAGTGGTGCCAGAAATTTTTTGTTACCAGAGTAACAAAACTCTATATGCTGGCCTTCGTCAGCGTCCGATCAAAGGGACTATCCAATTTCCACCCACTGTGTGCAGGCTGCCAACTTAAATATTTACTACCCCTTGAACTGGCCAGCCAGGAATGCAGCAGCAGAAAGGAGTATGAACCACATATGAACTGCCACCGACCTGGTACATGTTCTGTTTTCTGGAAAAGATACAAGAGGAATTTGAAGTGAACGTACTGTGGCTACATTAGCAGAAAAATTCACTATGTGCTTTAAAAAAAACAAACATAAAAAGAAAAAAAATTACAACTATGCTGTAGTAAGAACGTTGCTTGAGTAATGTCTCAGGGGATTGTCCTTGATACCAATTGAGATACATCGTTTCATTATAGAATAGGAATTCATGAAGCCATTAAGTATTAATTTCTTTTAAATTGTTGCTGTTCTAGTGAATGCCTTCAGTGGTTAGTCACTTTCTCCCCATAGCCAAAGTGTCTTTGAAATGAGGTGATAAATTGAACAAATGGGACAAAACTGGTTGGTTGTTTTTTTCCTTCTATTGTCTTGTGCACTCTGCCTTCAGGAGGTAGGAAAATTTCAGGTGTGCCCCTCTAAAGGCAAATGTTTTCTTTTACATATGTCATCTAGTTCAGAAGAACAGACCTCTTCATCACCAACAACTATTTGAGGCAAGCTCTAAAGATTTTTTTTCTTTTTCTTTGTATTTTGCTGACTAGTAGAATCTGGTTAGAAAGATGCTAGGAAAATAAAACATCTTTGTAAAGGAAATACTTTTTTGCTTGGCAGTCGTATCCAAAATAAGATGTTTCACTGTAGCCAGAACATATTACAAAGCCCAGAGTTTGATGTTTTATTCCTGCAAAACCACAATGCACGGATTGCTAGCTTACCCGTGTCAGAGGCATCCTGGAATGAAAAATCTCCTTCATGTTCTACCTTAAGGTCCAACATAGCTCCTGACCCTAGGAACTTGGCTGGATAGTGGGCAGTTATGGAAATACTTCAGGATCCCATCACACCTGGTGGCCTCAAGAGGCCACTCCAACGATTCTGGGGAGCCTTTTGCACCTGCACAGGAAGTCTTGGCTGTATATTGGTTCCACACTGCTTTTACTTTCTGGAGAGCAGACTATATGTAAACTCTAGACATGGCAAATACAGAAAATAAGGATACTGAATATTCTCAGGCAGAATACTGATTTCCATTTATTTTCTTATCCACAGAGTATTTTGCTTTAATAAACACTTTACCGAACCCAATCTCAAAAGTGATAGGACTACAAACTCAACAGAATTTAGAATTTAATTTATCCCTTAATATCAGTATTATGCAGAAAAACGTTGTTGCTGTTTTGCAGGTGTTTGCTCAGGCACTCTTAATAAGATGCCCTCCTGTTTCTTGATTATCACTTACAGCTAGGAAAAATATCATAAACTTAACACAAGCCACAATTTCCTCACCTCGACTGCCTTAGTACTGAGAATAAGCTTGTCTTCCCTGTGCTAAATACACAGACGTATTTAGATTTGCTCCCAGCATTCTGTTTTCAGGATTCTAGGTATCAGTTTCCCTTCACCTTTCCAAGTCCATGCTGCTTTTTGCTGCTGTTTTTTTGTTTCTTTCCAATTTATTAATATCCTTGTCATAGCATGGTGTCCAGAACTTAACAGTAATCCAGCTGCAGCCTCATGACCGCTGAACATGCATTGCAGCAATGTCATTTCTGTGCGGAGTCTCTTCTAATAGCAGCTCGCATGGTAGGAGATTCACATTCAGTTTATAAACATCTCAAATCATGTAATTAAACTTTAAAGGAATCTTGGTACTTGGCTTTTGCATATGGCTTTGAGAGATTCTTAGAACCACAGGAGAAGCAGAACTTTCTCTTTTTTTTTCTTCATTGAGAGCCCATTGCATTTAACATTTTACTTCTAGCTTTCATTCTTTTGTAGAGTGATACAAAAAAGAACTTGGTAAGCATACGCTTGTTCAAACACATTTTCCTTTTCACTTTATCCTCCTCCAAAAAAAAAAACTCTCTAGATTTTAAATAGCTATCTGGAGGAAGGAATGACAATGTGTTCTTCTAGCTTGTCATGGAAAGCACTGAGCTTAGGTTCCTTACAGAATTTTATTTACCCTTAATATTTTGTTAAAAACACCATTAGCAATGATTTTCCCTTTTTGGCTATTAAACTTGTGCAGCAGTTAATTGTAGTGCCTGCTGCAAGGAGCCGCTCAATGCTGTGGTTAGCAGGAAAGCTTAAAAAGCTGAAGTCGTTTAGAAAGTTCACAATAGATGGTTGACATATTTTTGCTTGTTGTCAGCTAGTGCTCTCATAAGACCATAGACAGCACGAGTGAAGTAGGAGGAAACAATACATCTGCAGACACTGGCAGACAGCATTGCTTGCCAAATTTGGCCACAGTTCCTTTAGATAAATAATTTCTCGGTGACGTGCTGTGTTGAAATTATATAAACAGCAAGAATTACTAAGACCTGGGCCCCAGGGTCTTGTGGGTTTCAAGATTTTCTGCAATCAATATTCTGACATCTGCAAATATTTTTCTCTAACAGCTGATGCCAGGAACAGAGCGACATTACCATCACTTTCTATGTATTCAAGATTTTGAATATATTGAAATAATGTCTTCAGCCTCAGCCCTGGTCAGGACTTTTGCTCTGTCATAACCACCAGCTCATACGAGCAGGCTTATACAAAAGTTACCAAAGCAGTAATCTTTTCTCAGAATGGTTTGTAACCTCTTACAGCAACAACTCCATTAGCATTTCAAGAAATGTACATGGAAAAACACTATTAAGTTTCAGTCTCTGGAATTATCAAGGGTTTTATCTGCTGAACATAATGTAACTTTGCACATTGAATGTACAGGGTTAGAGGTTAAGGTTGTTTTTCCTACTTAGGACCAGACAATAGCTAGCTTCTAACTCTGTGGTAAGACTTCCTTGATAATTAAGATACTGCCACTATGACAGTCATATACACTACAGCTATCTGAAAAGTCCTTCTATCACTGAGGAATTTATGCAGGAAACAAATGTGCATAATTCTTCCTGAACAGAAACATCCCACAGGGAAACCGTACCTGACTAATTTTTACAGAAGCATCTCTAGGCAATCTTCTGAAGTTATAAAAACAAATCCTTTATTTAACAGATATTCTTTTAAAAAAAAAAAAATCAATTTCCATAACAGAAATCAAACTTATGCATGTCACACGAGACATTCTGCAGGCAGCAGTTGTTGAATGTTGACAGTTACCCATGGCACTGAGGAAACATGGGCTATGCAAAATGAGTAACTGCATTTATTACTATCACCTAAGTAGGAACAACCAGACGGGAACAAAAATGTACTTTTAAAACAGTTACGCTTTTCTTTTGATGATATAACTTCCAGCACCTGGCCCCTCCTCTAGCAACACTCCCAAAGTTATACTGTTCTCTGAAAACAGTCTGAACAAAATTAACACACTTTGTTCCATTTTCAGTCCCTCATGTACTAATCAGGAACAAAGCAGAGGTATGCAAGTATAGAAAAAAGTCTCTCAAGCGCTTTATTTCAGTCATACCTTAAGGCAAATTTGTAAGTTTTAAGGGAATATCTCAAGAATTAAGCGCAGAGCTTGTGAAACTCTTTTTCTTTGTAGTTTTTGATCAAAGTTAACTTAGACAGCAGGTATACACAGCAATAACCCCTCAGAAGTGTCCTAGTGTCTATGTTAGTGATGTTTCTGTAATTTTTACATCTGCAAGTATTTCTGAAGGTAAACCTGTATCTGCAGTCCAACTATACAAGCCAAAATTTCAGTAGTTCTGTGCACAGTGTGATGGTATTTCAATGAGCATAAATGTTGAGGGCAATAAGGTAAAACTACCTCAGAATATGGTAGCTTCTCAGAGTCTCATGCCTTTAAAAAAAGGATGCAGCAAAGCCTCTTTTGCTGTTATTCTTGTTGCAGGGTTTAAGTCTAGTAGCTTATCAAGTAGGTCATATGCTTCATCAGGAACCTGATCCCATCCTTTCATGTCTGTTGCCTTCATTTCCAAAGCACCATCACCTTCCTGAAAGCTTTTTAAGTGTTGAATTTGTTTTCTCAGTGTGTCAGGAGCACACTGTTCGTCTACTGCAACTGGCAAAGCTGAGTCATTGACAGACTTGCTGGGCACTTCACCCTGGGATCTCTTACAGCTGCTATTTGTTCCTCTCAGCTTCTCACAGAGGGTTCTTAAGTTTTGTGCTGGGACAACTTGGGTACACAGAACTGATTTACCTAGAAAAAAAATTTTACAGTAAGCAACATTTTATTATACTTTCTATGCAACTGTAACTTCTAAGCTTGTTTCAGAGAAACTTCAAGTCTTGAAGTGTAACCAACATTAACAAACAAACAAAAAACAAATGAAAACAAATGAAAACAAATCCACCCCACCCCACCCCCAAAAAAAAACAAAACACACAGTCATGTTTTACAGCAATAGCTCCAGCAAGTCAGAAGGATAATAGTTGCAGTTCTGGTCAGAGCAAAGCTGTTTGGGTTTGTTTGTGAAGTTATGTAGAAATAGATTGTCGCCCACCCCACACATCATCTTTTTGCATTTCACTGCCATTTTAACAGAACTAAAGAAAATTAGATACCCTGATTCTTACACCTCTGGAGAATGAAAATCGATGCTGTCAGTTACACTTCCAGCTAGCAAGTGATGCAGCATTTGGCTTGCAAACAATTAGGGGAATGGTTAGTTTAATTGTGTGTTTTGTGGTGGTGGTTTTGGTTTTTTAAAGCACACAGTCTGTTGGTTGTTTTGGTTTTCTTTTTTACTAGTGCTTCTTGGGGGGGAGGGGCGGGGTGCAAGATTTACATCACCTAAATATTAAATCATATTGACTTAAGCCTCCAGGGCAAATTTTGCAGGAATAGAAGCATTGCCTCAAGTTTCTAACCAAATGCCTGTAGAAAACATTTAATTGGCATATTTTACCTCAAGTGGCCCTGACTTAGTGAAAGGCAGTAGACATGTTGGGAAGCCTATGGCATGAAGTACCCCATATACAAATTATAAAAGATAGAAACACAAAACTTCCTTAAAACTCTGTATATATAGATTCCAAAGTAACTCCCAAACCTAAAAATATATTTATATATTAAGAAAAAAAAAAAAATCACAGATTGTAAGTCACTGCATTCAATAGCAAACCAAACATACATTTTCCCCGTTTCCCCATAATTAAGGTTTGCATACCAAAAGTTTTAGCAGCCTGAATGGTTTCTCTGGATCCACGAACTGTCATGATTTGTGCCAAAGCAGTTAAATCATCACTTGCTTTGTAAAACGGATACCGTCCACTCAGCAGAGAAAGGAATACGATTCCTGCAGACCACATGTCAATTGCTGCAATTGAAAGCAAACTCGGTAATAACTAAACTCACAATTTAATCTCAAACAAAATCACAACTTTCTTTAAAAAGAAATTATGACCTGAAAAGTTTCTATCAGAAAAAAAAGTTATGTTCTGAATTACTGACTTTGGTCACATATATAACACTTCAGCAAACAGTGAAAATTACTATAATTAGATTGAAGAATAATTTCCTGCTTTGATGCATATGGAGTGTTTAAGCTTTTCCACAGAATTTTTCATATGAGTAATTCCGTGAACTTGCTAAACTTAAAATGTACCAAACCAATGTTTGAGGTTGTTTACCCCAGAGAGATGAGAGGAGGTGAAAAACTGGCTAGTTTTGATACTTACTTAAGTTTGCTTCATATGAAGAAAACTTATATGAAGATCATAAATAAAAAAATAATTCACAAATTAATGCAAATCTGAATTTTAAAAAAAGATTTAAAAATTTATCTTACTATGAACTTTGTTCCTCTTATTTGAAATCACTTGACAAGATAGCCAATTTAAGAACTGTAATAGTTAGAAGTTATTCATCACTTTCATTGTGTTATGAAGAGTACAGAGAGTACTCTGGGGATAGATGCCAAAGCATGATGGAAACTTTAATACTGAAAGTTATGAGAATACCTGTCTGCCATAATTTTTTGGCTCACTAAGATGCACATTTTGAGAGAAGGCTAGAAAGTGAAGGAGAGAGTTTGAAGAATTCTCAAACTCTAAAGAGAAAAATTAACAGTTGGGTAATAAAGCCATAGTTAGTTATTCTACTTCTCTTCAGAAAAATAATAAAATAAGCAGCAATTAAATTGGACATTTTAGTTATAAACACTATTAGCACAGGATTTTGGAAAAAAAAAGTGTCAAGTTGACTTTGGTTGCAAAAACAGATTTTAAGTATTTTATTAAGAAAATAAAAACACAAGTCAATCATTTGGCACAATTTACAGTGGAAAAAATTTGTATCTTTCTTCTAGTTCCTGTAAAAAAGTTCTAGTATTACTGTATCACTGTCAAAAAGATCATAATATCTGTTTGAGGTGTTGTGCATCACTCTGAGTATGTGGTTGGGAAAGCTGGAGTTGTCAAGGACAAGACCTTTAAGGAAGTTTAATCACTTAAACTCTTGCTGAAATTAATAGACATCATATATCTGAATGGCTAGTAAATCCTGGCCCTACAATTCTGGTAGAGCAGGGATTATCAGCAGACTGCAAGATCCTGTGCAATGACATCAAAATCATGATTCCTCTCTATGCTGTTACCCAACCAGTGAGGCAGACTGAGGAAAGGGGTGCAGAGGAACAAATCAAGTTACAGTGTAACCGGACCTGTATAATGTCAACTTGGGTGTTTGTGTTCCCTGCACTGTGAACCCGGGTCAGATGCACTAAGGTAGCTCTGGATAGTCAGCTGGATCCAGCTGGCAACTTGGTCTCAGCAGAGAGACCGAAACTAGTAGTACAATTGTCAGGAATACAAGGAGGCAACTACAGCAGTCCCAGATGGAAGTGGACAAGAGGATTTGTTAGTTCAAATACAACATAATCTCATAAATATTAGTATTTGTCTACCCAGTTCTAATTAAGGCCGTTGTTGACATACTACAGGAGCTCGGCACCACTGACTCAGTACTTTTAGGGCTGACTGTGCCACGCCCAAGGGTTTCCAGATTTACCCATATTTTCTGTAATCCTGCTCTCCATTACCCTAGAGAAGAGAAAACCGTCTGAAAGCATATTTAACACCAGCATGTGTCCAAGATTTCCTAGGTATGTCTTCTTTCTGACTAAATTCTGTCTAGACAGCTTCAGAGATTGTCTAAACTTGTCCTGGATTTCTGGATGTCTTCTAGCCCATAAAGCTGTCTTTTACAGCACAGGCACAGTAACTTCACACAGGCTGCCGTACCTCTTGAAATCCCAGTCATACCCACAGCACAGATGTTGTTTCAAATAACATTAAGCTATCTAGGGATAAGCTGATCAAATGTATTGTTAAGTCTATTCTGAATGTGTATACATACTAAGTACTTAAATGTTCTCAAAAGATACCCAGAAAAAAAGTGGCTTAACAATCGTTATTATAAACCCAATTTTGGAGGACATTTATATTCCTCCTTTTTCATAAGTCAAAACTCCTGGTCACACACCAAATGTTGAACAGGTAACTTTGCTTTTATTGGTCCTCAGTTCTCTAAGTACGCACAACCTTTCCCATCCTACTTGCATCAGCTAATGCATTAACCATCCCTCTGCTCTGCCCTGATATCTACCCAGACTACTGAAACTTAACAACTTGATATTTTTAACCCTGAGAAATTAAAAACTTAGTATGAAAAAATCATGATATTTATAGACTAGCTGTTTAAAACACTAGCAAAAAGGAAAAAATATAATTGAAAGTATTAACCAATTAAAGGACATTTGCAATTATACCAGTAACCATGCCTGCTATGACAGCAAACTACATGTGACAATCTGTCTAGAAAAGTCTAAGTATGTCCTATCCCCAAGACTTACTCAAGATTCTACTTGAATAAATAACGCAGTAAGCCAAGAAACTTGATAAAAATTGTATTCAACTCCTGCATATGGTGCTACCCCCCAAATGAACAAAGACATATTCAAGTTTCAAACACAGGAAAAAGATTCCTAACTTGTTCTTACTCTGAATAATAATCTTTTAATTAAAATCAGGAAATGCTTGGTAAGTGTTAGAAAGAATAATAAAATGAATTTCACATGTAAACAAAAACCCTCCCATAAGACAGACAAGATAATATGCATAAATGAGATGGATCAAAAGGTGAAAAAAGGCATCAGTTTCAGCCTGGTGTGCAGTACCTGTGGTCTGAGTGGGGCACTTTGTCAATACTTCCGGTGCTCTGAATCCAGGTGTTCCTGCCCTGGGAGCAACTTGCTGACACCTTGTAATAAGAGACAAACATGTTTATAATATAAAACTTGATAAATGAGTTCTAATTACAGTAATTCTTAATATTATTTTTAGAATATACTTGTGTAAGATGTGTAAGCAGCCTAACGCTGCCTTATTCAAGTTTTGTAGAAGCTGGAAGCATCTTACAACTATCTAGCATGAAATTATCATGTTGCATAAGATAATAGCCTTGTTATACTATCTATTGTATTATTATATTTTTATTATCTAGCATTAGGTAATGCAACAGAAATACTTATTGCATACTTCACTCACAATAACCTTTTTTCATTTTGTTCAACAGCAGCATCATTTTTGCTAAAGGCTTGTTTTCATAGGAAACTTTAAAGTTGAAACTAATTAGTCTCAACTCTCTTTGGTTAATTAACCAAAGGCAAAAGATGTACTAGATTCTTGAATGTGGATGCTCTGGCTTTGTATTAGTCCACAGCAAACTAAGGTTCACTATTTCTGAGTGTTGACAAGAATTTACTTTTTGTTAAATTAAATAAAAGGTGTGAGATTACCATTATTTAAAAAAACAAAAAACAAAAACCAAAACTTTCCAGAGCTTTCTTGTATGTCTTAAAGTGCCTTTCTTCTATGGGCCACTTCTCTTTTGAGTCTGGCAAATTCCTCATGTTTCAGACTTCTGAAATGAAGTTGATATCACCATATTCTGACAGTCTGGGAAGAGGGACCCCGCAGTTTCATGACTATGCCTAGTAAGCAGAATTCTCTGCATTAATCTGTGTTCCTTAACATTTGGATAAAAGGTAATAGTAGATCATAACCAAAACTAACTGCAGAGGGATGGAGTTGAACTGAGTTATTAAGATTCTCTAACCTGTCTATTATTAAAACTTGAACATTATTTTTAAAATGAACAACTATAAACCAGTCATGTTTCCTTTCTATTCTACATGTCATTATTTTCAGAATCCAAACCATTGGCGTGAATTTAGGCTTATTAGATAAGACAATACATCAATCTGTCAGTAGTAGTTATCTAAGTGTTGCAATTAACTCAAGCAATTTCCTACAACACATGTAAATACAACAACAAAAAATCATTAACAGTGAATCTCTCTTGCTGCAGTTAGCAGCAAACCAATTATTCCATTACGTCCATGAACTATTCTTGTTTAAAAAGAACATACTCAGTGTTTTAAGGGTTGCACAGATCAAATGCTATCTTTCATCTCCTAAATCAGCTGTCTAGTAAATCTAAGTTTCTGGCCTTGCTTGACAGCATAGCAGACAATTTTACAACATTATCAAAGCAAATTACCTTGAAAGGCAAACACTGCAAACTCTATCCGTTGCATAACAGTCACAGGTCAGGTTTGAGGGACAACCACTGGCAGCTTTCCTGGCTGCCCCATTGCTCACTGTTTTGGTACAAATAATCTTCTTCTTTGTTACTAACTTCCTAGATGAAACATCTACCGTCTTTGATTGTTTTATGAGCTGCAATGTAGATATTTTAGAGAAGGTGACATAATTAAGAAGCTTCCCTTTACATATAGATAGGCCAGTTCCTAAAATACTAAGACTGAACAGGTGCTCATGAGCAAGAAACTGCAATTTTAGAACAGAATACAGCAAACCCTTTTAACACAGCATCTATAAAGCAGACACTGAAGCTTTCTAAATATCCCGATTTCCTCCCCTTCAGAAAACATTTTTCAGTGTTTACTAAAAAACAATACACATTAGATATTCTGAAGCTACAAAACAAGTATTTTTCAAGTTAGTATAATGTTTCAAGAATTCTTTTGGTTCAACATGAGAATAAAAAAAATGTATATGAAATGCCACAGCAACACATAGGCACTATCTCTTAATTCTACAATAAGATGATCACTGCTGGCCAAACCCTCTAATTTAGTTGGGGTTTCCCCCTTGTCATATTAAATACTAATTCCAAAAACTACAGAAAAATATTTATTACAAGTTCTCTCTCCATCATTCAACTGTAAAATTAAAAAAAAAAGAAATTTTACCAGCTAAGTATATCTTAGTTGCACAGATACATGTGTAGGAAAAAAGATTAATTTAGCATACAAACCATATCAGCTAGGGAGCCAGCTACATAACTAGCTCTTAAAGAGTTTCAAAAGGGACTGAAACAGAACTGAAAAATTCTTTCAGCCAAAACACACTTAATAATCTACTCAAAAACTTCTAGTTTCACAGCACCCTGGGGTAGTGTCCACTCTTACAGATCAGTTCTATAATTTTTCAAATATGTAACAGATTGCTCTTACTGATGAGTCGTATTTCTTACTTTTGTACTTGAGTTCTCCTGGTGTGTGGAACTATAGACATTGAAATTCCTCTCTCCAAAGACAGAGCGCTGAACAGAATGGTGCACAGAATCCTCCTACAATACCAACAAAAAGGACAATAAGGATCCTATCTAACACACAGTCAGATGGATACTGACAGTTTAAAAAAAAAGTATGAAGTGACAGAGAACAAGAACAGCTGCATGGTAAGTCATTTTCAGGCATCAGTTTACTGTGGATGAAGAAAACATGGTCTAGACAGAACAGCAAACATGCTTACAAAATGAATCACACCTCAGAAGTGCCCCAAGACAATCTGAATGTCATCTGTACTGCATTTATTATGCAACTAAGTAACTAAACTTAGATGAATAATTATGGGCTTGGGGAGGAATTCCACAGTACATGTCACTTAAAAAAAAAAAAGATTTAAGGCTGTCTAAATAGTAAGCCATGCTAGGGTTTTGTACAGCCTTCAGCATTGTATTCTGTCTAACAGAGAATGCATGATGCCAATAGGGCTACGTAAAACTAGCCACTCTGATATTAAAAGTGTGATTCTGCGTCACATTGGGACCCTGCAAGACAGGCATGCACAGCTTCTGTTCAAGGATGACATCTCCCCCTGCTGGATGAAGTAAGACGTTAAACATACAACAGTATTAGTGAAAAAGACTGAGAACCTTTCCTCCTCTTCCTTGTTTAATCTGTGTTTTTGAAAGCGAGATGGACCTTTTATCAGCTGCTTTTGAGGCTGCCTGTTGAGCTATCTGCTTAGGTGCTGTGACACCGACAGAAACCCCATTTCCCAAGGCTATGGTGGGATTATTTTGCAAGCAACTTCCCTGCTGGTCTTCAGAGTGGGCAGCTTTGAGAAGTTCAATTTTTGTATCAGGGGTTCCTTGTGCCAAGCCAAAATCTACCAAGGCATACCTGAAAGACACAAATTTAGAAGCAGGAGTCACAAAGTATCCATCAGTTGGTTCAATTCACTATTTATTACTTGTTTACTTATCTATCTTTCACATTTTACTCAATAAGTTGCTTATTTGTACGTTACCAGCATCGTCAGTCTTATTTTCCTCCTTCGCATCCTCTTGTCCTATCTCACCTATTCCCTCAATGTTTTTACCCTATACCCATCTTGCTTCATTGTTTCTTACCCCAAACTTTTCTCAAGTGCATACTTTCTCCAGTGGTGTTAAAAAAATATTCCTAGCAAGTCCTTTCTTCTAGTCCTACAGCTCCGAACCTTCAGGCGACAGTCAAGTGTGACTTGACCCTTGCAGGATTCCCATGGGCAGAGGCACAAATGCAGCAGTAAAGACAGACAAGACTAACAATGCTGAGAATTTTGCAGACTTTAAGCAATACTACTGGAATTTACTTCAGTCTTCAAACAGGTAAGACTACAGTAGTTCACACGCCAGATCTGTCTTTAGAAGTAGTATTTTTTGCTACAACCAGTACAGAGACAATCCAGCTGTCTCTGGGTCTCAGACAAACTCAACTCCATGGCCTCCACACCCAAAGTAGAGATTAAGGCTGAAATGCTGGAAGAGCAAAATGACAGTACGAATTCATTCTGCCAGTTTTAAAAAAAAAAAAAAAAAAAAACAACCACAACAGTATTTCTCAAATTTTTAAGCTTGTGGTTTGGCAAAATATAATCAAATCTTGCCTACAAACTTTCACTACATAGAATCATTTAGGCTGGAAAAGATCTTTAAGATCAGAGTCCAGTCATAAACCTAACACTGCCAAGTCCCACTAAACCACATCCCTAAGTGCCACAACTACACGTCTTTTAAATACCTCCAAGGATGGTGACTCAACCACTTCCCTGGGCAGGCTGTTCCAATGAAGAAATTTTTCCCAGTATCCGACCTAAACCTCCCCTGGTGCCACTTGAGGCCATTTTCTCTTGTCCTATATCTTCTTACTGGGGAAAAAGAGACTGACACCCACCTGACTGCAACCTCCTTTCAGGTAGTTGTAGAGAGCGATAATGTCTCCCCTGAGCCTCCTTTTCTCCAGGCTGAACAGCCCCAGTTCCCTCAGCCGCTCCTCATAAGACTTGTGCTCCAGACCCCTCACCAGCTGCCCTTCTTTGGACACGCTCCAGCAACAAAATGTCTCAACTGTACATAGCACAATACTCACCAGTACAGCTACAGGACTGCTAGCACTGAAACATTACTTTATTCTATGCGTTTAAGCTCTTCATGAAAAAGCAGTACCTCGTTTTTTACAGTCTTTAAATATTGTAGCTTGCAAGAAAAAAACCCCAATCCTGCTAGTTATAAACATTAATTCAATGTAAGGTGAAAGCAGCCCAAATCCAGCTATCTTCTTATCTGCATCAGTTTTACTCTACCCACGAGTAAAAATTTACAAGTATCAGCCTATGCACCACAAGTCACCATTAGCTGTCTCATTAAAAAACCAAACTGATTAGTCCCATTCTTATTCAAAAATGTAGTGCTTTTACTCAATAGTAAAATCTTCATTTTTTCAGGTACTTGACACCCTAAGGCAGACATTACATTAAGTATGAAAAAAAATTCCTTCTCTCCTCAAATCCCTACACACAGAAAGGAAAGTTTTACAAATTAAAAAACATTTTTTTAGCTTTATTACTTAAGCAGCTAATATATATATCTTTTATATATATATATATATATAAAAATCTTACATATTATGCAGCTAGAAGGACAAAAACCCAAAAGCCTAATTGGCTTTGTTCTGCCAAGGCACAGATCCCCAGATGAGATCACAATATGGTCATCTGGACAGACTTACTCTTTTAGCCGCCTGTTGTAGAGGAAGTTACTGGGTTTGACGTCACGGTGAACAATACCAAAGTGATGAATGCGCCTCAACGCTTTAAACAGATTAAACATGTATTCCCTCACTTCTTCAAAGGAAAGAGAATTCAAAATGTCCTGAAAGATTATTTGGATACTGTAATTATGCAACTGCTTTTAATTAAAGTTTTACTACATATAAAATGTCTGGGACTCACCAAGAAGGATTCATGTTCCAGATATGGCATAACGATAACCACATGATCATTTTTCCTAAAGCAGTATTTAACTCCCATAACGTTATCTTGTCCCCTAGAAGAAAAGTAATGTCACTGAATAAAGACTAGAAGATGGATGTTTATTTTCCTTTGTTTCTTAAAAACTTCAGTCAGGCTTTCTTTTATAATCTAAATTTATATTTTGACAGCAGTCAGTCGTTACGCTGTTGCCTCTTATTGCTATGTTCCATTTGAGTTCTGCAATTTGCAATGTAGGCTCCACAGATTATTTGTGGGGCCATAGTTTGTAGTCACAGCTGTAATTTAAATGTAGGACCGAACCTTCATGATACCAATTACTTTACGAAGGTGCTATTCAGCACACTATGGCAACAAGTATTCATTGCTAAAACCACAATTTTCTGATTAAGAGATTATTTTTCCAAGCATTTGAGAACTGGAATTTTTGTTATCACAGAGATACATCATAGAACTTCTAGGATGGAAAATACGGCACCATCCACAAACTGAGACTAGCAGAAAAGGGCATCCATTACAGGTATGACACTCCATTTCTTATTTGCTCGTATTAAAAAGCATATACATTTCTGCAGTTAAAAAAAAGCAAGCGAAGTGACAAAACTTAAAATAAATAAATACAGAATAGTGAAATAATGTTCAGCAGTTTAGTCACGACAATAATAATTTTTTTGTTTAGGTACCCTGCTACTGTGAGGCACTGAAGTTCAGCAGCAATTCGCACAGGGTGGCTGGTTGGAATCAAGTGTTTCAGGGCCATTTTTTCCTCATATCCTGTTTGTAGTTGTGCTGTGGCCAAGTAAACAGAACTAAAAGTACCTGTAAAGAAGGGAGAAAACCACTGTCTTCATCATTTTCAATTAGGTCAATTCAGATTTTTACAAAGTGATCTAACCGTTCACAATCCTGCAATATACTTGGTACTAGATCAAAAGCAGATTCTAGAAGAGAAAAATGCAGTTCCTTTTTTCTACTACTGAATTCAGTGATCTTGTATACAAGTTTTTTATGTCAGTAAAAATGCAAATGTAACACTGTCTAACTTGCATGGGACACAGAGCTCTTTGAAGGTAAATTTCCTGTCTTTGATTTGCTTTCTTGTTTAGGTAGCTTACTTTCATCTGACATCTAACTCTTCTCTCCCTATGATCTAAGTGGGTTCTATAATGCTCATCTGGAAAGCACTGCCTTTACTATTCCAAGCACTTCTGAAATTGCTACATTTTTCTTAATTCTGTTACCTTATTTCTAAAGTAAGTGAAGTTACGCATCATGTGAGAAGTCTATTTGTTTGCTCAGAGCATTACCACATAGACAGAATGTGAGAAACTCATATGAGAAAGGGAGTATTCAGACTGTATGATAAACTAACCCACCCATTTCGTTTTAAGAACATCCTAATACACCTCGTAGGAGGTTCATTTATCCTAATGATCTGAGATATCTGAACATACAAGAGGAGGTGTTCTTCCATACAAATAAACAGTACAAATTACTTTTGATTACATTTTAGGTATTGTGTTTGCATCATGCTAGTTCAACTAGTAAATGCATACATACATCAAAATGCCAGCAAAAACTCTAAATACTTCTTGCAGCCATTAAAAAAAAAATCTGGAGTCCCATACATTCAGTAGAATTGATTATAGCAACAAGGGTTACCAAGTTGACCTAAGACATTAGTTTTGGTGGTGAGAACTGCTAAAATGAAAGTGACTCCAGAGTGGAATCCTAGGTTGGAGTGTGTTTTTTCATAATTCTGCAGAACTGCAGGTGGTATTTTTTAAAAGCATTGTTTGCTCTCAAGAGCAAAATCAGGGCACTATTCATAACCAGAGATTTTGTTTAATTATACTATCTTTTTTTACGATAGGCAGAACTCCTTTTTTTTTGTGGTTGTTTTTGAAATTCTGTATTGTTGTGGTGAATGGAGCTGGGTTTTTTGGTGGTTTGTTTTTTTTGGGGGGGTTTTGAGACAAAAACTTTTAGCCATCTACCCTGCCATCACAGGTATTCCATCACATAACAGCTGTAAAACAATCCAGCTTCTCATCAACATCTCTGTTTAAAAAGTGTGGAGCATCACAAAGCATCTCAGAGATCAAATGGGTAAAGTTCCAAAAAATGCTGAAATCCCAAACTCAGAAGTATCTAAGAATCTATTTATAGTCATGTCTAATGTTTATTGAAGGTATCTGCAATAGTATCTGCTGAAGGCAGGGTGTACACAAGTGTTATAAAATTTGATACTGTATGTCTTAAAAAAACTTTAGGGTTTTTTTTTTTTAATAAAGCAGCTGTAATCTTTCAGTTTCCTTCTCCAGTTCTGCCCCCAGGGTTTCAGTGGAAACAAAGCTAACTTAAAGAACAGCAGTTAAATATGTCAAAACACAGATGCATATAAACAGATTTCTCATGTAAAAGAGAAAAAGAACAGAGTGTCAAGACTTATTTATTCAAATCTACTTCAAAAATTTGTAATTCTCAAAACTTGAATGACTTTTTTTTTAAAGGTTTTCATATACCAGATTTTCAAGAAAATGTCCCTAATTAACACAGTTATATACTCAGCAACATATTAGAATTCCTACAGAGACCAAGAAGTAAATCAAAAAAGCATTTGGCTTAAATTGCATATATTGGGATCTTAGATTTATACCTTTTAAGTTAGAAATACCAAAAGAAATCTAAGTCTAAGCAAGTTAAAATAAAACATTTACCTTCTCCAATTTTCTCCTTAATTTTGAACACGTTTACAAGCTGTGGCACTGCTTCATAAAGTTTTTCAATATCTTTTTTTATTCCTGCAGGACAGAATGGGGAAAGTAAGTTAGGAATTTCATCGCTTGATTCAATACTTGCTCTATATTTGAAATCACAAATCACATTTCAGTTCATAGGACTATGAATTCACATAAACAGAGGAAAAACCAGCAGACAGGTATATATCCCTGCTGACATTACCATCTGCATACTTGATATTATTGTATTCTTCTTCACACTCCCTTATAAGTGCCAGCATTTAAAAAATTTTTTTTTTAACTTATCTGCCATCTAGCTGTTCCTGAGAGGGCAAAAGCCTTCTGGTTAGTAAGACATCAGATTACAGATCACTGATAAATGTTTTCATTAGACTTGCAATGTCAGTTTCGTAAAAGAAAAAACTGTAATAGTTGTTTCCGTCAGCCCAGGAACACATCCATGGGATGCAAATCAAAATGTAGGAAAAGAATTTTTTTTTTTTTTTTTTTTTTTTAAGATCAATAATGCAATATTTCACACTATTACTTAAAATAGTAAACACAAAAAAGCCATGTTTGCTCTGGATTTAAGTTGCTGCACTTTGTGCTGCAATCACTAGATGGCATGACAAGGATGTTGTACTGTATTATTTTTTTAAAATTATGTAGTTTTTCCATTCAGTTTACAAATCCGTGTAGTTTAAGTGTTCTCTATACCCTGCATAAGAATTTACTTTTTTTCAAGCTATCAAGTATGTAGAGGCTGTGATTGATTTCTGTAAAGCAGGGGTGAAGAATATTTTATTATACACAAACAAGGACAAATTGGTATTTGGAAAGTCAATCAAATGGAAGAAAAAACTGTATATATTTTTCATCCTAAAAATAAATAATAAACTAAATTTAACACAAATATATAAATTGTATGCTATACATAAAAATGTACTATGTTTTATTAGTAAGCCATAAGCAATGAGAATCATTTTCAAAATAACACTGATATGCTAGAAACAAAGTATGGATTAGCACGCAGCCCCAACCTTCTATGTTAGCTCACTTTATGCATCAAGAAAATATGAAGTCTGAACCCTTTCTTCCTAGTAAAAGCCCAGTAAATTAGTTGGTAATTCAAGTTATAGTTAATTTTTGATTGTAGGATTTTTTTTAATTTCAAAAATTTGTAAAAGCCAACATACTAAAAATACTTTTGCATGCTGAACCCTGCTACCTCTCTTAGTATCCATTTACTTATTTTTTTCCTTTAAGTTGTTCCCTCTGCTTCTCCAAGTTACTTTGGTTTAAGCCATGCGGGGGAGGCGTATTTCAGGAATGAAAAAAAAAAACCCTCTACGCTACACACCAAAACCGCTAACAGTCATTTAAGATACTGTTTTGATCAACAAATGCAAGTAAAAGGTTTATCAGTTCTGCTAGGAATCACATTTAAAAACTTTAAAAATATCCTAGGATAAAAATGACCAGACTTGTACTAACAGTGAAGATGTACAGGACCCTGTGCCTAATAATTTACGAAAGGCTAAGGAATACAGGTCAACTGGTTATTCCCCAATTTTACAGAGGCATATTAAGTTAAACACCTTGAAAAGCAGAAAATTGAAAGTTCAAGGAATAATTTCATTTTCCTGTCAATATAGTAAAAATTTCTGTTGAAACTAACATTAAAAATTCAAGAAGTTACTATATAACATTTTTTGAACTTATGGCATTCGTATTGCCTATGTGCTCAGAACTTTATTAAGAAGTTTATTATCTGTTATTGCTGTAATTCTTGTTGTTTTGTCACTAAAAAAAAGGATTGTTGATAAAAGCTTTATCATTTAAGAAGTGGTATTTCCAGTTTGCACAGTAATTTCAACTTTTACACAAACGCTCATGTATTACATAACAAATGTAAGACATTCAAGAAACCTTTCTGAAGTCTTCAGAAAATACAGGAAGGGAATAGGCTGATATTTGTATTCCATTTTCCCTGGGAATAGTCAAAGACATTAAGAGATGAACCAATGTAATAGAACTATAAAGAACTTAACACCAAAATGTTACTGCATCACTCAAAAGCACAGGCCTTTCCCCTGAGGAAGATAATCCTGTTATTGGGTTCTGAAACATCCTACACAAACTTCATCCCTAGAGGTCAGCAGCCACAGGACAGAGCCAGAAAATTATTTTCAACGGTGATACAGTTCTAACAGGCTCTGTTAGAACAACATTGTTTAGAACTAGTTTGCTATCTAACCTGCTCCAAACAAAGCAACTTACAGTTTTGTTCCAATGCTTGTATTTTAGTCTGACTTCTGATCAGAGCTGCTTAAGCTTCAGTTTTTACCAAAAAAAAAATATACTGACAGTAACTTACAACATAAAGTTTGCAATGGAATTTCTCCAGTAAAGTTGCTTGGTTAGGAAAAAAGGCCTTAACTCTGGCAAAAAGCAGGACTCCTACCAAGGACTCAAAAGGCACATCTTCTAAGTCTTCAGAAACCAGCAGATTTCTATTCTCCTTACCATATCAGGTTTTGCGTTGTTTTGTGCCACCAGTCTAACAGTCCTAAGGTAGATACTAACAATCGTGGAAAGCGCTCTCAATAACTGCTAAAAAAATCTGCCAAATATTCTGTTTTATCCGACACTGAATTCAAGTTCCTGCCTGGACAAAGGTCAATGGTGTCAGAGCACTAACAGTTGGGTGACACAGGCTACAGATCCTAGGCCAGAGTACTGTCTCCCCAAGGCACTGACAGCATTTAGTAACTCAACACAGCTTCTGGTGTGAAAAGTGCTAGAAGCAGTCAGTGACTGTCCTTGTTGATAGCAGTATATACATCATCTGTTCTCTTTTGGGGGCCTGAATCCCCAGTTGGGTAGAGGGAACGTACAATCGTGGTACCATCAGTGTATAATAATAGTATCTAATATTTTCTGTGAGCAGATTTTAAAGTAATTTTTTTACTTCCTAGAATGAAAAACATTTGCAAAGTGAGACAATTAAGTGTTATGCAGCATCATTTCATGTAATTCTGGACACGGATGTGCAGGCAACTGACAGAGGACTGTCTATTTCTAGGAAAATTATTAGCCTTTATGTACCAGCTGGCTGACCATCCAGAATACTTCAGCAAGCATTGTACAGAAAGTCCGGATTGAAGCACATTCACAAAGAGAACCAAAAACGAGCAACAAAACCACTATGGGAGCCCAAGTTTGTAGTTCAGCCTGTCTGGTAAGAGCAAGAACAGTGTTTTTATGCACACAGGCACACCTGAACAAATTTAAGGATAAGGCTGGAGATTATAGGTTAGAAGGCAAAATATTGGTTTTGTGTACTTGTCTGGTCAGAGAATTTTATTCTCAAGGACTGCCGTTTTAGAATTCTGGTATCTTCTTATAATAATGTTTTCTGTAATAAATAAATAGTGGGGTTAGCAAATTATGACAAATTACTGCTGCTAAAGTTTTGTAACACATGGAAAGCAGGAATAAGCTTAAAATCAAAACCAACCTCAAATCTTCTCATTTCGTTAATTCTTTATACAATAGGACCATATACAGACAGGCTTATAATTGATGCTGAAACTTCCTGAAGCGATGAAGGATATCAGCATGAAAGCGTAATGTTAGCAATTCCTATTTTAGGACATACCTGAAAGCTTGCTGTTCTGCTCCGGCTTCCCATGGAAGTCTTCAGCCTGATGAGGGTGCTGTTCATCACAGTGAGACTCCAACACTGTCTCCATCACAAAACAAACCTGAAGTAAAAAAATCAAGACTTGAGGATCACTTCTGGACACCTGGGGGAGCAAGCATATCTGGCAAGACACTTCCTGGCCCTGCACTCAGCTCCTGAGATAAGATTTAGGTAGCACAGAGGAACTCCTCAGAGTCCCTAAAACAACAAAGGGTCACTCGTCCACCCAGACAAAAACTAAACCGGTAAACCCACTCTACCTCTACTAAGAGAAAAAAAGGGGGAAGGGAAGGAAGACTGCAGGATAAGCTTAGACACAAGTGATTTCCTTTCATCTTGTGTGTTTCCTTATTCACACCAAAGCATTATCTTTTCCCTGAAGTTTGCTTTGAAAGGAAAAGGACTGATACGCACAGGAAGAGCTGCATTGCATATCACAACACCAATAAAAGACAGAAAATGTGAGAGAAATCATGAGAGAAAAAAAAATAATCTCAGTATGAGAGATTTCTCTCTCTTCTAGATAAGATTAACAAAAGGCATAATTATTTGTTGCCCTGCCCCAAGAACAAGAAATAATAGCACATGCTTATTCTGAAATGCTTCTCCCCAAATCTTGGAAACACTGCAAATAAAACTGTAAAATAGTAAAGTGTACCAATATTGTACAATCAAAAAAACCTGATAATCCTATTGCACGAGGAAAAGAAAAGCAGAGAGCCTTAGGGCAGGATAACCAAGAATAAGTGAGCCTGGAAGCACCACCTCTTACAGTTGCCCAACACTGGTTCCAAAGATCTTCCTTGCTTTTAACTTTGTCCAACCTTCATGAACTTTTCTACACTGGGGAAACGTACTCTGAAAAGCTTCAAATGAAAGGATTCATCTGTTTCAGTTATGGAGCTAGAAATACATTTTATCCCCAAAGAATTTGAGCTACCTTTAGTCTGTCCTCCTCGTGCAGCAGAACAGGGGAGAGGCAACAGCCTCTTCTTTGAGGGAGCTTTGCTGCAGAGTGCGACTTGGAAACTAGTGGAATGACATTAGAGATATTTCCAGTCTCTCACAGGTAGACACTCCCTCTGCTAGTGCTTAGTAAGCAGATAAGCCTGTTCCAAGCCTGAAATGGCATGGCCTCATTAGCAGAACAAGGAGTGCGAATTAATACAGACACCCCTCGCCGCTCACCATGGCCTACTTGCTCTGATTCAGCCGCAGGCCAGCCTCCGCTCCAGGCTCTTCCAGTTGAAAGCTGGCCACAAACACCTTCGCAGAAAGGAAATGAACGCTTCTGCCTGCCTGCAGACTGCCATGGGAACACGTTCATGGCTTGCTGGCCATGAGGAGGGTGAAAGCGGCTCAGTAACTCATGATGCCATTTCCATTTCTTTATGTTAAACACACTATCTGCGGAACTGAATACCTCGAATACTTGAGCCTATTAAAAAATGGTTTACTAATTTAGAAGTGGGCTTAACAGTTAGAAAATGGAACATCAACGTTTGATTCAGTCAGATATTTAGTTTTTACATTAAAAAACACTCAAGAGACACCAGTAAAGATAAAAAATTGAGAGGAAGGCCAAAATGATATGAAGTTCCTGCTCAAAGAACTTTTTTGCAGTTAAATTGCATCTCCAGTTAAAAAAACAAAGTTCTCTGTAATGTCAAAATAAGAAAAAAACAAACAAACAAACAGATAGCGACAGATTCAAACGGCCCACATAGCCCTCATGGCTGCGGGGTCTTGAGAGCCAGGTATCTGAGCCTCGCACGCAGGAAGCGGCGGTACCGCTGCTGAATCCCTGGCTAAAGCAACGCTGCTAACAGCACACAGCCACTGAAACGCACAGCTCCTTCCACGGACACGCTGGGAAAAGCTCGGCAGGCCAAAAACGAAAGTGGTATTAATATCTCTACTTCGCCGTTTAAGAAGAGCAAATGTTGTGGCCGGATTGAGTCTTGCAGTAAGTTGACGTTTTCTATAGACACGCAATAAACCCGTCGGTTGCGAGACG